TGCATTCCGAATCCAGTAATGCTGCAACTTCCTCCCCTTTCCCTCAGCTGGGGATAAACAGTCTTAGGGGTAGAGTGAGTGGTTCAGTTGGGTTGCTTACCAGCGGGTCATCTTCCGGATCACTTTCAGACTGGCTCAGGTCTCCTTGGGGTGTTGGGGGGTTCTTCCTCTGGGTGTGGGGGACCGGAACCTCACAGCTTCTGGGCTTCTCAGGCCAGTTTCTTTTCCTCAAGGGTTGGATTTTTCAGGTTTCCCCCGATGGGTGGTCTGGCTTTCTGGCAGGGCTTTTTGAATGGCACTCTGCTGCACAGTGCCCCTCTTTTCCACACTTAAAGCAGCCAGATGGTCTTGGAGTCATGGTGGTTTGGGGTTTGAAAAACTCCCACTTTCCGTGGGATGGGGATGTTCTCCAAACTCTGCCACTGAGGTACTGGTTATGGGCCATGTCTATCTCTGCCTCCTCTGCCATTAGGTATCATTCATGCAGGATGTTTGGGGGGGGGGCGGCCCAGGCAGGCAGTGTACAGGTCATCATTGAATCCATCTTTGAACCAACAGACTAGGGTATCTTCTGGCCAGTCAACTTGGCTGGCCAGGTCACAAAATTCCTCAGTGTACTCGGCTATCGGGCAACGGCCTTGCTTTATGATTCTAATGCAGTCGTGGGCTTTTCTATCGGTGATGGGGTCTTCGAAGCAGTGGCATAGGGCAGTCATGAATTGATCGAGGTTCCTCAGTTCTGGGGTCTTAACGTTGTGGAGAGTCACCATTCATCTGGCTGCTGCCCCTTCTAGGGCCAGGGTGATGACTCGCACTCAGGCCCCCTGTGTCAGGAAATTCCACCCGTATTCATGCATGTAGGTAAGGACTTGTGCCAGGAAGAATCCCAGTTTCTGGAGGTCCCCATCAAATTTTACCCTAAGGGCAGGACCTTTCTCTGCAGTTGTATGTCTCTGGGTTTGCCAGGGTTAATCCCCTGCTGTGGAACGGCAAGGGGTCAGGTACCTGGTATGGCTGCTGGTCCTCCGGCTTGTTCCATTGCTCAACCATTCTCATCTGGATCAGGAGTGATGGCTTGGGTTCTCTCAATTTCTGGTTCACTCGCTCTCCTTCGTTGGTGATCTGGTTCATCCCTCACATTGAGATCCTCCAGGGCTTCCGTCATGAGGCAATTTATGTACCGTTTCAGTCGGTCATCTGCCAGTGGTTCCTCAACCCACTCTTCCTGATCAAAAAGGGCCTCCAGTTCCATTTACCACCTGGGTTTACGGTTACCCCAGGTGAGGGTTACTCCCTTGGTTCTTCCTATGCCTATAGACTATTCGTGGAATTTTTGCAGGTAGCTTCAATGTCTTCAATGGGGTACACAAAGTCAGTGTCTGGCTGGGTAGTTGTCAAAGTTTCTCCCCAGCATTCGGCTTCCTCTTGCTCCTTGCTATGTTCAGACATTTTTTGCAGGGTCTCCTTGGTAGAATGAAGTTCTTTTCAAAGGAAAAAAAAAATCCTCTCCGGGTTGACCTCTATTGCAGATTCTGCTTCATGTAAACACCAGACTTTTCCCCTTCAACCGATAAGAATGAACTTCTGAAATCTAGGTACTTCAAAAGGAATTCTTTATTGAAAGGAAGTGATCCAGGTACTAGTCAAAGCAGACTCCAAGATGCTTCCAGGCATACAGTAATAGATAAAAGGAGTTAGAACCTCTCCCCTTATTCTGATGTGGATTTAGTCAAACAAAGAGACAACATGTTAATTCTCCCCCCACTTTTCTGGGAATGTATCTCAGAAAAGTTTCCCAGGAAGTTTCTTTCAGAGCTGGAATTTTTATGGTCCCTTCTCCTCTTGCTATCTCTCCAAGAGGTGACAAGTTTCCAGACATCTGGCTCCAGTCCCCCAGTTGTATATCATGTGCAAATTATACAGATTCAATACAAGACTTAAGATTTTCAGGTTACATCAAAAAGGATTACTTGTACCAAGTCCCCTCCCCCCTTCTTCCATTGAAGAATGGCAGATACACAGATCTGACACTCAGCTTCTTTTGGGTAGTACTGACAAATGCAGTATGCTTGTCCATGACAACTCTGAATCACATTTGGTTTCAAATCTATCTGCATATTTAAAAAAATTCATTCTACTCTTCAAAGAAATGTTAAACGGTAACTTCAGCTTGAACTTAGCAATGTATGCCACTTCTCATATCTTGCCTGCATTTCATAGTGTTGATTGCACACAGCCAATCACTAAATGCTATGTATAAAGCATTTCAATTTCAGATATTCTTGGAATTTCTAGCAGCACAACTAGCACTGTCTCACAAAATATTACCCAGAAATTAATTCACTAACAATTACAATCTCTTTTGAATTGTTTTGATTTTATGTGTAGACATAAAAGCACTGAATTAATTTGAAAAAAAATTACTTAAATTTTGAACACTTTATTTGAATCAGGAAATATAAGGTGCTGGGCATCTGTTAAAATATTTTGAAGCTATATTTATGTTAGCTACTATAGTGAAATTAATAAGTATTTTAATACTGGACAAATATACAATCTATTCAGTCTTAATTATATTTTTCTTTTGTCACTACAGATTTGATGAGGAACAGCATCTTCTGGCAGAATTACAGCGTAACTTCAATAAGTTTATTTTATGGTTAAATGAAGCCAGCACTGTTGTCAGCATTCCAGCTGAGTCAGGAAATGAATATCAGTTAAAAGCCACCCTTCAAAAAGTAAAGGTAATATAATTAGGAAACAGTTGTTTCCAATTGTTTCTTTTTCCTTTCCTTTCCCCTCTCAATCTATTAAATTTAAACACTGTAAACATCCTGAGAAGTTTTCCCAACATGATGGGTTACTAATGTGTTGGATTATAACTTAACATTTGTCAAAATTTCTAAGGTTTTCAAATAGGAAAACTTCAGTGATATTTTTTGGAATCATATGAAATATAGCAATAGCAACAGCACTCAGACTTATATACCACTTCATAGTGCTTTACAGCCCTCTCTAAGCAGTTTACAGATTCAGCATATTGACTCCAACAATCTGGGTCCTCATTTTACCAACCTCAGAAAGATGGAAGGATGAGTCATCAAACTCCTGCAATACTGAATTCTAACCACAGAAATGGATTGTCACAACATAGAAATAGATTGAATATATGACATTAAGTTGTTGTCAACTCTTAGCAACCAAAATATTTTTAGTATTTATTTTTTAAAAAATAATTTTAAAATGATATATGGTTTTTAGTCAAAATACAGTTCTGAAAGAATTAGTGTCCACGGGCAGTTTTGAAGAAAAATATTAGGTCTAACAGTGTTTAACTTTACTGTTTTTGATTCAAACTCTAGGAGAAAAAAATAAGATAAAGACTCACTTGATTTGAACCGAACTGCTGGTGATTTCATGGATATATGCAATTTTTGCTGTTCTGTTGTCATCTCTACTCATTAGGTGCATTGGCAGGAAGGTCTTACATTGTTTGACTTTTCTAGCTATTCAAGTGTTGCCTGTGTTTGAAAAGACTTGCGTGGTTTCTGACTTGTCCTTCCTGAGGCTGACATTCCACAGGTTCAGCTAGAGCAGTTTCTTCAGCTTCAGATTCACTTAGAGTATAAGATATGAGCCTGGGCCATGACAATTATAATCTATATGAAAATTATAATCTGCTATATGTATGCATGTATGTGTGTATTATGCTTATGAAACTGATTTTGTAATTGTTCGTCACTCAGAGTCACTTTTCTGAGATGGGCAACTGTAGAAATTGAATTAAATAAATAAATAAATTTCAAACTTGTAATGCTTCTATCACTTCTAAAGTCTCCATCCAGAGCTTGTAGCTTCTGTAAAATCCAAACCTCTCCCAACAATTCAGGATCTAATCATAATTTGTTACATTGTCTTGTTCCCCGGTGATCTTTCCTTATGGCCCCAAAAATTGAAAATAAGGTATGCAAGATTTTTTAAAAATTTGAAGAAATCATAATAGTTTCATACTATACTAGTATGAAAATATTTTTGAAAGTATTCCAAACTCTCTGAGAATGCTTTATCCCTTTGAAGCAACCAGTAGGATTGTTCTTGAGCATGAATATATAAACCTTGAATAAAGTTGTGGGTACTTTGTTTTGAATTGAGCTCTTAAGTCTATTTGCTTCAGCTGATAAATCAATAGAAATGAAAGATAAGGAACTTGAAAATTCTGCTAATCATTTTAAATGTTGCATTGGTCTTTTCTAGTTAATAGTGGAAGAACTACCTTCACGCAAGGGAATACTGAACCAATTAAATGAAGCTGGAGGAAAAGCACTCAGTAGTGTATCACTGACCCCTGAAGTAAAACATAACCTTGACAGTAGACTCAAAGAGGCTAACCATCGCTGGATAAAGGTTAGAATTATTAGTAATGAAGCTGTAGTTTATACGTGTAATTGGGAACATGTACTTACAGCAACAGCATGCTTTATACTCCTCCCCTACCCTCAGCACACATGCTTAAATGTAATGGTGTTGAGACACCTTATTTACAGACAAGCTCCCATTTCTTGGACAATATTATTAAAATAAGATAATAGAAGTCATGATGGAATTAGTCAGTGAATGAGGATCTATTGTGTTTCCCTGGATGCAGGAAATAATTTTCAAAAAAGGCATATTATAATTAGTCACCTTATTGTTTATATTGTAATTAAAGTTACAACTTTAAAATTAAAGTCAGATTAAGTTACTGTCCTGAGGCAAAACACTTTAACAAAAACAATGTATAATAAAGTTTTGCTTTGCTTATGTTCAAGTCCTTAAGGATGAATACTCACTTTTTTATAGAGACCAGATACTTAATAATAGTTTCCTCTAGCAGTAAAGAAATAAAAGGACTTTCTCAAACTAAGAATAAAAAAGTTTATCTATGCATGACATTCCTATTTTTTCTTAATTACACAAATTTCTAAGATAGCCTTATTTTCCTGCTAGAGATTATTAAAATGTTTTACATTAATAAAATATTTTCTAAAGATCCCCAAACTATATACATTTAATGGCAATTTTAAATTAGAAATTGAGCCTTTTCCCCACTTTAGAAATGTAAATTTGTATGCCCCATTATAGTTAAAATCGTTTTCACATTACCTGTCTAAGAGATATCAATATTTCTTTGAGAGAGATGGCAAATATATATATGGCACTTACGTTCTTAAATTCTTACACACACACACACACACGTATGTACGTATGTATATATGTATGTATGTATATGTATGTAAAAGAAGAAACAGACATCCTGCAATCTCCAGAACTTAAAATTACATTTATTGTACTTACTAAACTTCCATCAGCTTCTGCTGACATCGTCAGAGTATTAAGCTACCATTACAGAGATCTCTGCCTTTATATATCATTAATCAATTTAGCCCTTGCACGCATGATAGGCCCTTTCAACTGCCTCCCATTTGTAATTAGTTCAGTTGTTTTTGCTTCCGTCATGTTGGTCAAAGAAGGTTTATCTCTTATTATTGTTTCCTCCCTTTTCCAACCCAGCCTGGACTGCTTATCTCTAGGAGGTGATGTTAAACTGCCAGCTATTGCAATTTGTTGCTTTGCTTGTGACCTTGTGGTCGGCCCAGCTCGTTCTTCATTATTCCTGTCTGTTATAACTTGAGGCAGCTCTGCTGGACTCCTCATAGAGTTCTATGGGTTACCAAAGATCCACAAGGCAGAGATACCCCTGCGCCCCATTGTTTCCCTTTGTGGCACTCCGTTTGGTTTAGCCAAATGGTTATATGGGTTATACATCTAATCGAAGACACCTCTACCAGTGTCAGATCCTCTACCAACTTTTTACAATGGTTGGAGGGAATGGAGTTTGGGGAGGATGAGACAATGGTGTCATTTGATGTCGTGTCACTATTTACATCCATCCCCCATGAGCTGGCGGCCCTAACTATAAAGGAACTGTTACTGGAAAAGGAGCCACAAAACCCCAAATTCCCTAACACAGACAACCTCCTCCTCCTGCTGAATTTCTGCCTTAGGACCTATTTTACATTAGACAGCCATAGATATGAACAGATATGGGATCTCCAATCTCAGGAGTGATAGCAGAGGCGGTCCTCCAAAAATTGGAATATGAGGCAATGAAAATTTATGAGTCCAGGTTTTGGGCACGTTATGTTGATGACACGTTTATTATTGTGAATCAACGAGATAAGATCAGAATTCCATATATCCTGACATCCAGTTTACGATGGAGGAAGAGACCAATAACACGCTGGCCTTCCTGGATGTGCTAGTCAGCCATAACCTGGATGGGAGCCTTGACACAGGTATATACCAAAAAACCATGAGCACGGACCGTATCCTACACAATGAGAGCAATCACCCCATTGCACATAAAGTCAGTTGTATTTGGGCACTGTTTAGTAGGGTAGACACTCATTGTAGTACACTGACAGCCAAAGCCAAGGAGCGGGCATATCTTTATCAGGTCTGCAAGCTCAATGGCTATTCCATGGACTTCATCCGAAGGTGTACTACACCCAGGGCCCGGCAACCCACTGAAGATGCCAGTGGAACAGCTACGTGGAGGGTGCTCCCGTATATAAGGGAAGTGTAATGACCTGGGGCATGACACAAAAATAGCCAAGCCACAAAAACAGAAGAAAGTCCCTTTAATGCCTCCAACTTGGCCCGAATTTTCAATTATCTGCAGCTGGATATCAAACTCTTAAAGAAAACAGTTTACTGAAGGAGTAAATGCAGTCTGCACCCTAAGTAAAGTTAATTCGAAATAAAAAACCCAACACACTACACTGAAAGGAATTACTACAGTAGGCAAAGATGATTAATTGCAGACTTCTACCAGATAAGCTCCGACAAGAATGCACGCTTTGCTTCCAGCAACTTCGCCATACGCAGTTTGTCCTTTTAAACAGTCCTCCCAGCTGCAGCCCATGAAGGTGATCAGGGCCCCTTCCTCCCCTGTAGACCATGTCACTCATGTTTCTCCCTTATCTGTTCCTCCCTGTGTGCCCTAGGATGAAGAGGGGATGGGCCTGGGTCTTCTTCTGAATGTCCATCCAGCCTGTGCCCTTCCCCAGTTTCCTCCACAACTACTGGAGCCACACTCCCACTCCCTGTTAGCTGTTCCATCTCTCCCTCGGAGTCAGACTCCAACAGGGTCATGACAGGGAGTATCTGAAACTGCTGCATGCATTCTCCTGGGGCATGGAGTCAAGGTGGTGCACAAACCAGACCAAACTCTAAGAATGAGAGTGATGCACCCAAAGGAAACACTACCCAAGGAGGAGACATCTTCGGTGGTTTACCGATCAACTGTAGTGATAGTGCAAGCAATTATGTAGGCCAAGAGGCTACAGACCAGAGAACACGGACATGAACTGGCTGTCTGGTGCAAAGAACAGCGCTCTCAGATCTAGGCACATATGTAAGATCATAATCACGCATCCAGTTTTCAAGAGGCTGAAGTTGTTGCCCATGATATAACTAAAGGAGGACACCTTCTAAAAGAATCCTGATTTTCTAACAGCAATTCTATCAATAGGCATATTGAACTACCACTGGCCTACCAAGCACTGAAACACCAAGAAATACACTGCAGGAGGAGCAGAGACCACTTCCCATTGGGGAGCAGGGACCAATGGCACCCCCACATCCCTGGGCATGTGGATTCATCCTATGAAATTGCAATAGCTGGCAGTTTAACATCACCTCCTAGAGATAAGCAGTCCAGGCTGTGTTGGACAAGAGACGAAACAATAACAAGAGATAAGCCTTCTTTGATCAACATGATGGAAGCAAAACCAACAGAGCTAATTACAGTTGGGAGGCAGTTGAAAGGGCCTATCACGCATGCAAGGGTTAAATTGATGAATGATATATAAAGGCAGAGATCTCTGTAATGATAGCTTAATACTCTGACGATGTCAGCAGAAGCTGATGGAAGTTTAGTAAGTACAATAAATGTAATTTTAAGTTCTGGAGATTGCAGGATGTCTGTTTCTTCTTTTACGAGTATATCTAGAACTCGTATTTTTAGAATAGATGTGTGTGTGTGTAATGTATGTATGTATGTATTCTATTTATGTGGAGTTCATATCAAATTATATTTCTCTAGCTAGCATGGCTATTGGTAAGAATTCCAGGAGTGGAAGCTCATTTGTCTGAAAGCTGACAAGATTCAGAAACATTGGTCTATTTGATATAGTATATTTTGCTTATTGTGGCAAACCACATGCCTCTAGTACAGAGGTGTCAAACCCAAGCCCTGCGGGCCAGATCCAACCCATGGGGTGCTTAGATCTGGCCCTTGGGGCTGACCTGGAAACAGCAAAGGACTGACCCATGGGTGCCTCTACCAGAGAAAACAGAGGATGAGAGAACAGTGTGCAGTCCTCCAACTCCGTTTTCACTGACAGAGAGCTAGCAAAACAAACTAAAAACAAAACAAAAGGAGAAATGTTTCCCCCTTTTCATTTGAACAAGCAAGAAGGGTGTCAGGCTACAGAACTTTTCCCATTCAATTAACAAGAATGAACTTCTGAAAACCAAACGTGTCAAAAGGAATCCTTTATTGAGATGAGACAATTCATGTAGGGATTTAAAGCAGCGTCTAAGGTCTCTCATGCATGCAGAGATAGATTAGGGAGTTTAAAACCCCTCCCCTTATCTTGAATGTGTATTTAGTAAAACAAAGAGCCAACATGTTAATTCCCCCATCCCCTTTTTAGAACAATCTTTTTCAGGGTTTCCCAGGACACATCTCACTGTGGAATTTTTATGGTCTCTTCATCCCCTGGCTGTCTTTCCCAGAGGTGATAGGTTCCGGCCATCTGGTTTTCATCCCTCCATTGTATCATGTGAAGGTATACAAATTCGATATAAGAGTAAATAAATTCAGGTTACATCAAAAAAGGATTTCTTTATCAGCCCCCTCTCCCTTTTCTTCTTCCATTGAAGAAATGACAGATACACAGATCTGACAAAGGGACAGGAAAGGAGAAAGGGAAAGAGGAAAGAAAAAGAAGGGAAGATGGTAAGAGATCAAGGAAGGAAAAATAAGGAAAGAAGGGAAGGAGGAAGAAAGGAGAATGAAGAGAGAAGAGAAAATAAAAGAAGGAAGGAAGGAAGATTGTAACGGCACTTGGTCACCACAGGTGCCCCTGACACGAGTGATGTCAAGTTAGCCATACCCACCCTAGGCGCTCAAAGTCAAACACAACCCTGATGCAGCCCTCATTGAAATCGAGTTTGACACCCCTGCTCTAGTGTGAGTTTAAGGAAGACCTGATTGCAATTGCAATTCTATTAATTGATACTAAAGAGGTCCATTTCTTCTGAAGCTTGTATTATAGAGCTATCATATTTAGTAGTCT